ATGAAGATAATGGTAAATAATGTCCTTAACACCATTATCATCACTGAAGAATCTCAAGCCGTCCTTCAAGCTCTTCCCAGGAACACAATAATGCAGTTTATGTACTTTGCATCGTAAGTAATGCACTATGTCCCTCATGAATTCTATATATGATGGCCTCCTTACATCGAAAAAGATGGTACCTTTATTTCCACTAGAATATTCCCATTCCTCGGTGCCAATGACAAATTCCCTACCATAGCAAACAATGATGGCGACAACATTGTCCCCCACGCCCATGCTGCACCGAAAGAAAACAAAATAATTAGCATTTGGGACCACAATGCACAAAAGCCAACAAGTTCATATGGAGGATCCCACAACCGCAACTAAATGATTAAACAAATTGCCATTGTCGAAATAAAATAACTTCAGTTGCTGTCGTTTAGTAGAAATGAAGCAACACAGCTAGCACCGGTGTCCTCACAATAAGAACTTGAGGTCCCCACAATCACTATTTCGCAATTCCTTCTCTACTACTGTCATGCCTAATTTATCTCTCCCCACAAGCCTTAGTTTTGCCCTCGGAGCCCTAATTTTTCCATCCAATTGAGCCATGGAGAGAATATGACAAACCTGAATGACTGAGGGTAAGAGATGACACACGAGCGGCAGCCAACGACGACGGCGATGGAGCAAGTGATGACGGCGACGGAGCACAACGACGACGACGACTAATCGAGCGACTACAACGGGAACTTCCTTCGCTTGAACGACGACCAGACGAGCCCTAATTTCATCCTTCATCGTGCGACGTCGTTTAATTAACTAGGGGGAAACGACGTTGCATTGGACGTCCAAGCCACGTAGGCGATGCGACGTCGTTTTTGAAGTCCACGTGGACTTTATTTTTAAAAAAATTTGCCAAGTCATTTACAAGATTTAATTAAAAAAGCCACATATTAATTTTGGCTGGAATATCTCGTCGTTGACACTTAAGTGATCGTTTTTCCTTCAATTTGGCACTTAAGTGAGCCGGCGGAAGTTTTTTGCACTAAAGTGAGCGCTGTACACAACTTTTGGCACTTCTGCTGTTCTTCTCTCGAAGATTATCTACATCATTCAAATGTGAGGGTGTTGATAAAGATGCGAATTCTACAAATGAACCTCTAATTAGCCATGATGTTGATAATTTTGAAGAAATTAATGGCGATTTTTGGCGAGGGCTGATTTGAAATTAAAGTAAATATTGGGGAATTTTTCTTGGACAAAAAAACGTTCGGAGTAGGATTTAGGGAATTTTATCAAAAACTTCCTAAACCTATTGTACTTGTGCCAATTTAGTCCTAAACCTTTCAATTGTACCAATTGAATCCTAAACCTTTTAATATTTTGTCAATTGGTCCATTTGGTCAAATTTGGCACGCTGACGTGGACATTTTTAATAATTTTTCTTTTTTGTTTTGTTTTCTTTACTTTTTCTTTTTTTCTTGGACTCAGGGCCGGGACGCCCTCGCTTGAGGCCGGCGAAGGCCACGGAGCCCTTGCTTGGCTAGACCTGGCGAGGACGTTGTGGTCCCTTGCCCAGAGCAAGCGAGTAGGGGTGAGCATGGTTCTAGGGTAGAATTAAGAACTTGAAAGCCGGACCATTGGGAATTGATCAGGTTCCAAATTCTAAGGTTAGAGGGTCCGATTCCTGGTTCCATTTTCTGAAAACCTTTGGTTCCTGGTTCCCATGGGAACCGAACCGGGAATCGAGAACCGGTAAGGGAACTGAACTAGGAACCTAAAAACAGTAATTTTCTTCCGCATAATCTCATCTTCAGTCTTTGTTTATAGGTGATAGCAACACATAAACTGCAAAAATATCATTGATGAGCAAGGATCAACGTCATTTTTAAGAGTAATAAGAATAGCAACGGTGGGAGATAATTCTAATTGTTCTCTTCTATCTTAATTTGCCTTTGAGCTCAATGAAATGCCTAAGATAGTAGTTGCCCAGAAAAGAAGAAATGGGTCTCCTTTCACTGCGCAGAAACTCTTCACCATCTAGCCCTCTCCTCAAAGTCACCTCAACTGACCCATTTTCGACCTCCATTGATGGCTTCAGAACAACCCATCACCTATTCCTCAATGTATAAAGAATAAATTCAGACCCAAAGAAGAAAGTGAGGATTAGGAATACTGGGGGAGTGAAAATTCAAAAGAAACCCAAGAAAAGGTGAAAATCAATGGGTATATATATAGGCGAATTTTTCTTATAGTGAGGGTGAGAGGATCTTCCGAGCATATGCTTATGAAAGTAACAACCTTTATTTTATGTGTTTTGAACTTTTTAATATCTAATTTATTTTATGTGTTCATCTTCTTTCATTCTTATTATTTCGTTCACTTCCGTTTTGCTTAACAAAAAATGTAAAAAAAAGGGAATCTGTTAGACCCTAGCATCAACCCTGAAACCTCTGACAATGTAGGTTTCAGGTTCCGACGGGTAGATTTCATGTTCCAAAAAATGAGGAATCTGTACCAACATGTAGGTTCTAGATGCAACCTATAAGAAATCTAAAATCGCTTACCCCTACCAGTGAGGGTTAACTGGTGACTCTCATTGGCCCCAAGTCCAAGAAAAAAAGAAAAGTAAAGAAAAAATGAAGAGGAAAAATTTATTAAGAATTCAAAAATTTATTAAAATACTATTAAAAATGTCTATGTTAGCTCCATATAGCCGCCCGTGCCAAATAGGACGGCCAGTGTCTACGTTAGCGATTTCCGGCCAAAATTGATCGGATCAACTCTATTGGCAAAATATGAAAATGTTTAGAACTTAGTTGACACAATCAAGAGGTTTATGATTGAATAATACAAGTACAATAGATTTATGGCTTTTTTTGTAATTCTCCTGTAAGATTTGAATTGGACCTAAAATTTAGGGTTTTTTTTTATAGAATTAGGCCTAAGGAAAAGATCGAGTTCTCAAATACTAAAGGCAAAACCCAAAATGAAAAACCAACTCACTGCTCTCTCTCTCTCTCTCTCTCCTCCTTTGTGAGCGTCTATCATAAAGTTCTGTCCAAGTGACAGAGCTTTGGGTTTTGTTTGGTGTTGTAAAGGGGAAGTAGAATCTAAGTCAGACGTTGATTGTCTTGTTTGTGTCAATCCCTTTTTCACTATCAATTGTCTCTGAGTCGGTTTTTCTCCAAAAAGGGTAAAAGTGAAAGCCCATCGGATTTGGCAAAATTTGATCTTTCTTGTGAGGAACCTCTCTCTTAAGGGAAAAAGGAAACGATCCCATTTTTGGGATCTTGCGTCTCTCTTCAAGTAACCTTTTCCCTCTCTCCAATGTACGTACATCGATTTCATCTCTCATGGGGTCCATGATCTTGGTCTCCATTAACTTGAAGTACTGTTCTCGCTACCCTGTTAGCTACCAATCATTCATTTCTACGCGAAACCAATGTCTGCAATGTCTTCGTGAACCATTAGTTCGCCGTGGATGATTTGTTTTAGACTCTACTACTAAGGAGAGAGAGAGAGAGAACCAATGTCTGCAATGTCTTCGTGAACCATTAGTTCGCCGTGGATGATTTGTTTTAGACTCTACTACTAAGGAGAGAGAGAGAGAGAGAGAGAGAGAGAGAGAGAGAGAGAGAGAGAGATGTTTCCGCGCACTAAATGTTAAGGAAAAACGTAAAAGATCAGAAGTTGAATAGGAAGACATTTCCAAAAACCAAGGGCAATGCTAATGAGAAAAGTGGCACACATTAGTGGTTAATGAATGATATGTACTTTTGGGAACAGAGAATTAACCAAACATTTCAGTTCAACTTGCTTGGGCTGCCCATTCTTGTTTTGGTTTGTTTTTTACATTCTAGACTAGAAACATTAACAAGATAGAGGATACAATATCGTTAATACCACTAAAATAGTTAATTTGTATTATCTATTGAGTACAACTCGCAAAGATACGCTCGAACACGCAAGAGGAAAATTTCATTGCATTGTTGATTTATCAAATTAGAGGGAAACTACTTCTACAAGAGTGACAATGACCTACTTGTTACAGCCAAGATACATTGCATGAGCTTACAAAGATATTTAGAAACGAGCTTACAGGGATAAAGCGAATGGCATTTTTCTGGATAAACAATCCAAGATTACTCAAAATCAACCATGTTCCGTTGAGTCAGGAGAATTAATCACTATAACGGACATCATGCCGGTAAATCCCATCAAGGAAAATAGATTTTCTAGTTAGTTTGGTTGCAAAATCACATCTAATGAATAGCATATGATTGAAGATGAACGAATGATGCCTCATCCAATGAATTTCATCCTTCAACGGAAAGATATTTGGGTGTGATTATGCATTACCATGGTAGTATAACCTTTTATTTCTCTGCACAATCTGCGACAAACCTAATATCTTGCTTATTGTGCATGAGGAGTTTCTATTATTCCGTGACCGAAGCATTCGGTCACTTTATCATCCGTTGGATCAAGTTTGTTACCTTATATTCCTTCATTTCATCTATGATTCAACGTAGGAAAGTAGACTCAGTGATTTAGTTAACGGTGTTATATATTTTCCCCATTGTGCATGATTGATGTCCTGTGGCTATATTAGACAAACAGCTGATCATATAGCTTTTTACACGACACTTGTATGACTCGATATGTAATGGCGGGACAACAAAAATTGCTAATTATATGTTGAAAAAACTTTCATGACTTAAAAAGACGAGTCTGTGATCCAGACTAATGTTAAGAGATGCACCATTATTCGGTTAACATCTCTCTTGTAGTTGCGCTTTAATTCATTGTGGCAGTGAGAATAAAATGTCAATTTTTTGCAGTTCATTGCAATATTATCTCCTCATGCGCTCTTAAGATTGTAGCTACTTTTTTGCGGTGTAGTCCGACGGGCGACATGTTCAAACTCCTTAAGATGAGCGTAACTCCCGCATCTCTGTGATTGTGAGCGAGAATAAACTAGATTGTGCCATATAATTTGCAGAAACAAATGGGAGGCTAGTAATGGGATGATGAAACATGCAAAAGAAGGCGAGAACGCATATTACATAGCTTGGAATAGTAGCAGCTAAAACATCCTGCATGCAAAGTAAATCACACGAAGCTCACAAGCACAACCACAAGAAGAACACCTTCTTGCTTATAGAAAGAGCCCTAGCATTTGTTCTAACATCTGAAAGATTGAAGAGGGTGAGTCAACTGGTCAAGCATCCCGGTGACCGGCGTAGCCAGTCTCGGCTCATACGCAAAGCCATGCAACTCAAACTCACCACCACCACCACCACAACCGCTGCTGCTGCGTCCGCCTCCAACAAACGGACATGGCGGCATCCACTGCCACCTCTTCCTCCACATGTCGAAAAGCAAGGCCTTGTCCCAACATCCTCTTATCATAATCACGACGAACTCTCCATTCCCAATGCAATCAAACCCTCTTCCACCTTCAATATCTGCAAACTGAATATAGAGTTGATACGGCATTCTCTCCATTTCCACCCAAGTTGTCCCACAATCTTGGAGAAACCAAATCCTCAAGCTCTTTGGCACATTGAGCTTGCTCTTCTCAACAGCTGCCACTAGAAGCAACCTTCCCTTGCTCTCCACCAAACTCGGGGACCTCAAGAACCTCCTCATTGGGGCTTGAATCTTGCACCAGTTGTTGCTCCCTATTTCATAGGCCAAAATGCTAAATGGGTTATAGTTCATGCAGTAGAATTTCCCTTCGACGTACACCATCTTGCCTGATTCGAGGCTGCAAAGCCTAGGTAGAGAAGAAGTGGTGCCCCATAGCGAGAAGAACCCGCCGGCATCAATGTGGAAGCTCTCGGAAGAGAGGTTTTTCACCGCGTATGGAGATATCAAATCGTCTCCGGCGACGGCAACGTCGATTGAAGATGGAGTGATGGTGAGGCCGATTGAAGGGAAGAGCCTCGGTCTAAGTGTTGGGGGCAGTGGAGTAAAAGAACCTACAAGAGGGTTACATAAGATCAAGCTCTTCATGCCAGCCTCATCGGAAACCCAACACAATAGCCCACCGGAAGAAGCACATGGGGAAAACCCGGAAGGGATCAAAGGAAAAGAAAGGCGGTGCCACGCTATTTCATAAGGGTCAAACAGATAGCCTTCCATGTTATAACTAGCTGATGATGATGATCTAGGGTCGTTGGTGGAGTTGTTGCTTTGGTAGATGTAGGTGCTGTGGGTCTTGTTCTTGAAGAAGATGAAACAATGGCGGTCCGGGGATACTTGCAAGCAGAGTTCAAGGAAGGTGCTGGAGAACAAGAGACCATACCATCTCTTGCAAACTGAACGGGCTCGGAAGAATGCGGGCGGTGGAAGAAACGCGATCACGCGATCGAGCAGGCTTTGAGGAAGCTTGCTCCATATTCTAGTGTCCATCCATGAACCACCACATGATGACGAAGTGTTAGCAGCTGTGCCTTCACTTGTGAAGAGGTATGAGAAAGGCAAGGGCATTGAGGCATTGAAGGCTTCCATATGGGAAAAGGAAACGATCCAAGAAGTTGAGAATCAGGTTTCTTGAATAGGACCAGCCAAACAAACTAAGAAGTGGATTTGCTATCTTTTCATTCTTTCGCCAACTCTGACTCTCAAGCAATAGCTAGCTAAACACAAAAAAGGGAAAGAAATACAAATATAAGCGTTTCAAGAAGAAGAAGACCCTAGGTAAGAGTAAGAGAGAGGTTGGTGGTTAAGGAAAGGTCATGGAATTTGTGAATTTCAGAGTCGGAGGAAGATATTTGGAGTTCCCACATAAACTTTTGTGAAGTTGGGCTTTGATAAGGAGAGTTCTTCATCTTGGGTTGTGGTGTTGAAGGAGGAGTGTTTATAAAAGGGCTGGGGAGTAGAGCTACATGCATTTGCATGTCTGACTTTTTTTATTTTAGTTTTTTTTTGTCTGCTTGAGTGTGTACTTTCATGTTTTTTTTTTTGGCAGAGATGAGTAATAATTTCTTGAAGGGATGTTTTTCAGCGATGATTTCGAGTGTTTTCTTTTCAAAAAGCCGAGGAAGAGGAGAGGGACAACTGGAGCAGAAAGAAAGGACTGAAAGAGTTGCAGATCAGATCAGAAGATGGATGATGAGATGGTAAAGTGCCAACACGAGTCTCTCGCTGTCAGTCGTGAACTAAGTCCGGAATGGAAATTGATTATTCAGCCCCACTTGACGACTCTTCCCTCTTCTTGTCTCCTAATTAGACTCAGTTGGCCAAATCCAACTGGCACGGAAATCATCACGACAACACTTTAAGACAATCTCGTTCTCTACAAACCGATGTACGATGAATATGTCCAAGAAAGCTGGTGTGGGCATTGAGTTCTGCTAGGATCGTAGGGTTTGTCTAGGAATTCAAAAAGTGGAAGATTAAGTGTATTCTTGCCTAGTTGCTCATATTTAACGCCAAATAAGAAGCTGCAGTATTCGACCAAAAAAAAAAAAAAAGAAGAAGAAGCTGCAGTATCACTTTAGTTAAGTTTATGAATTGAGTTTGAGCCCATTTGAAACGACTAAAAATGAAGCTCGAGGAAGACCGAAGAAAGAGGACACAGTTTGGGAACCTAGCTGACGAGTGTTTGGTGATTTGACTATTCAAGTGACGTCTAGTAGGTTTTGCTCAAGAAGTAGATACGCTCGACCATATTGGGTAGCCGGTCATGAACCGTGTGTCTAGCGAAGCTAAGACGGCCACTCGGATTGCTCACTTGATCTTACGAATATAGATTGGATGTCTAACTCGGCATGGACTAGCTAGGGTTTTCAAAAGATTTCATTTGTATTAAGTTGTTCTTCATTTTGTAGAATGTACCAAGCCATCGAACGTGTGTGACTGCTTCTCTAACAAAGAGATCGAGTCTTTTTTTTTTGTGGCTAAGTTAGAAACTAAGAGACTAAACAGTGAGAGAATGACAGGTGCAATTAGGGCTTGGGGTTCAATTAAGATACTAGTGATTATAAATCACCAATAACATAATGATTAATATGGAAAAATTCCTTTTCTTTTATGAGGAACACATAATATTCGTCACTACAAAAAAGATAATGGTAACCCACCATGTCCTTCTAGTGCAATAACATAAATGCATTAGAGTTCCCTTTTTACTGCTATCATTGCGCATATCGACTGAAGCATACAATATATAACTTATTGTACCAATTTTATAAACCATAAGCACTTGGTATATCCATTCTAATGTAGCTACTACCATTTTTTGGTTTTTGCACTGGCATGGACTCTGTACTTTGGATTGAGTCTCGATATAGGACACTTATGACGATGAGATCGACATTTTTTTTTTGCAAAATCAAAGCCAAGCTAGATGTTGGCTGAGATCAACATATGTGACATAGGTTGGGACATAAAGAAGGGATAAATGGTTTGCATCCTTTGTAATGTCATCTCAAGCAATATGTTTGTTTTAGCCGTCCATATGTAATGTCACATATGATAATTCAGATTCAATGTACTATTTAGCAATTTCATATGGTTAAGATAATAAAAGGCCACATAAACAGTATATAGGTAAAGTAAACATTTTGTATTAAGGGGCCGGAATGGATGATGCCAGATAGAATGGGAAAAAACGTAAAAAAAAATTAGTTCCATCGAATTGGTTTAGTCCTTAAGCATCGATATTTAATGCGTGAATGAGGTGCATAATAATAGCTTGATTCCCAACAAACCATAAAGTGCAAAAATTTTCACATTGGGGTCATTCACCCTAATTTTGGCTCATATATTACTTCATCCATGAGTTACTGTTTTTGGACCCAAGATTTATATAGATGGGCTTCTTTGTCATAAATTATTTTAAAAATAAAGCAACTGAATATAAATATATCCTTATATCGACCTTCTAACTTACATCGATGTTTCAGTTTACCTTCAATTTCTTTTCTATGGTTGAAATCTTTGATCACTAAAGTCATACATTATATTCCTCCAACATATTTGTGCTACTAATCGCCATTGTCAAATGCATAATAGAAAGAGGTCCATCAATGTACATTTGAAGTGCACAATTACATAATATATGCTCATATCTTCATTTGATGCGAGTTTTCCTGTTAAACTGATTTTGGGCTTCCTCCGTGCCTAAATTAAAGAAAAAAAGTTAAGAAATATCAATGTGCTCCATTTTTGGAATAGTTTAAACATTTGGGACGGATAAATGAGGAATTCAATAATTAATAGAGCATAATTTAAGACTCATGAGCTCAAATCACGACACTCCCTATAAGTATTTGCATGCGTACCGAATATACATAAAACCATCCACCCATATCTTTCACAATCGTTCTCCGACCGAAGGAAAAGATTAGATAACTTTTGTGTAGGTTAATTATAGCTATCGAATTTAAGATAATGAAATTCGAAGGAGTCTTCCCTTTAGATGGTTTGATCATGGATGAAAAGAGAAACGAAAGTGGCGACAAGGAAATCGAAAACCCTAATGCAGAGCGAAGGACACAACGCAGTTTTTGTCAGTTCATACGTCTAATCCCATTTTCAGTGTTGGATTTTTTTACAGTCTGGTGCGAACTACAGGAAAAAAGCTTTCACATCTGAGAAAGTCAAAAGTGATAAGAGAATCTCTCTCTCTCTCTGAGCCATGATGTTCTGTTTAAGTGACTGAGTCTTGGGTTTTGTTTGGTGTTGTTAAGGGGAAGTAAAATCTAAGTCAGACGTTGATTGTCTTGTTTGTGTCAATCCCTTTTTCACCATCCTTTGTCTGAGTCTGTTTTCTCCAAAAATGGCAAAAGTGAAGCCCATCAGCTTTGGGAAACTTTATCATCTTCTAAGGAACCTCCCTCTTAAGGAAAAAGGGAGTAACCCCATTTTTGGATATTGCGTCTCTCTTCAAGTAACCTTTTCGCTCTGTCCGCAGTACGTATACACAGGCATTTGCACAGGGAAAAACAAACGCGCATTTCATGGGGTCCATGATGATCTTGATCTCTATCAACTTGAAGTGCTGTTTTCCCTACGCTACACTCTCGGCTTCCATACATTCATTCTCTACGTGAAGTTAGTGCCTGCAATCTTTGTGAACCTTTAGTTCAGCGAGGATGACTTGCTTGACACTCGACTGAGGAGGTGGACTTAGTTAGCCATATGTAAGTCGGCACAATTGAAAATATTAGGACTAAATTGGTAAATCGTCAAAAGGTTTATGAATAAATTGACACAATTGAAAGGTTTAATACTGAATTGGATGCCATACAATAGGTTTAGGACTAAATTGGTACAATTGAAAAGTTTAGGACTGAAGTAGCTTCCGTACAATAGGTTTAAAACTTTTTGGACAATTTTTCCGAGATAAGAAAATTGACCAAACATATCAGTTTCGCTTGCTGGGGCTGCTGATGGAGCCTTGGAGGCAAAGAGGATACCATTCACGTTTTCTATTTCTTCTGTACATCGTTGACTAGAAACTTCAACAAGACAGAGATAATGGACAATCATTAGTACCACTAAAACGGTCATCATCTATTGGCTACAACTCGCTAAGGCACGCTCGAACAAGCAAGAGAGACATTTCATCACATTCTTGATTTATCAAATTAGAGGCAAAACTATTCTTACAAAAGCAACAATGACCTATTTGTCATAGCCGATATACATTGAATGATCTTACAAAGATTCTTACAAACTAGCTTGCATAGAAACATTGAATGACATTCTTCTTGAGAATCCTTGCAAGATTACTAAAGAATCAACTGTGTTTTGTTCAGAATCGGGAGAATTCTTCACTGTAACAGACATTGCGCCAATAAAACACATTCAGGAAAAGAGATTCCCTAAGTAGTTTGGTTGCTAGGCCAAGTGGAATTTGTACGTGTCTTTTCTATGCTAGACAAATTTGACGGTAAAAATTATCCAAAAAGTCCTAAACCTATTATATGGCGGCCAATTCAGTCATAAACCTTTCAATCATATCAATTTAGTCTTAGATCTTTGACGATTTGTCAATGTAGTCATTTCGGCTAATTTCGATCAAAAATCGATAACATGGACGTTAGGCGTCCTACATGGTATGGCCGGTATTGATATGGACAATTTTTGTAATTTTCAGATTTTTTTATATATTTTTTATTTTTTTCTTTTTTATCTATTAAATTTTTTTTAACTACTAACAAGCCTGTGAGCAAGAGCCATCGGTGACTGGGCAAGGCCAAGCTAGGCTACGTATCGTATTCGATCCTATTAGATGTTTCCATAGCGAGTAGACTCTCAGGGACACGGGACATACATTATTGGATTATCATAAGATATCACGCGACGATACTCTGACACCACTAAAGAGTAATCAACTAGATAAAAAGAGAGCAATAAATATGAGGAAAATACGAGAATTGGGTGAATGTAATTAATTCGGAAGTGCCGTCACTCACGAGATATACTTTTGGAGGGACCTAAAAGGGTACTTCATAAGTTAGAGACTTTCCCATCATGTGATAAAAATTAAGAGATAGACTCTTGACAAATTCAATGGTGTGAGCATTTCATGATGTGACTTTTCCAAGTATGTGTTGTCGTGGACGACACGGACTAGTGAGTTGCTACCTAGTTTCGTCGTCGTAAACGAAAATATCTTGTAATGGTTGGCTAAGTGCAGCCTGGAAAGAGTCGGACCAAAATTCAGGACAAAAAACCTAGAGAAGCCATGGGAAGAGGAGAGGTGGAGGTGTTGTTTGTGGCCACGCCGGCGATCGGGAACCTTGTCCCCGCAGTCGAATTCGCCCGACGCCTGGCCGACCATGACCCTCGGTTCCACTCCACCGTCCTCATCGTCACCGATCCCCACCGGCCCCTCATTAGCTCCTATGCCTGCTCACGAACCGCCGCCTCCTCTTCCGGTGCCGGCAACCTCCGCTTCGTCCACCTCCCTCAGGCAGACCCGCCTCATCCAAGCGAGTACCAGTCCGCCTTCGCTTACGTCTCTCTGCACATCGCGAACCACGCGCCTCTCGTCAAACAAGCCATCGTCAACCTCAGGGCAACGGGGACCCAAGTCGCCGCTCTGTTCTTGGATATGTTCACCACGCCAATGGCCGACGTGGCTCGTGAGCTGGGCATCCCTCACTACCTCTTCTTTGCATCCCCAGCGAGCTTTCTTGGGTTCACGCTCTATCTGTTAGACCCTGAAGCCAGGAAGGCGATCGAGTCTGAGGACATGAGCACTGAGTTGCCCATTCCGAGTTTCGTCAACACAGTGCCTAAGCGAGTCTTGCCCTCTTTAGTTCTCAAGTGGAAGGATGCGTTAAGCTTGTTTGTAGCCCATGCGGGGAGGTATGGTGGGTTCAAGGGGATTGCGATAAATACTTTCGACGAGCTTGAAGGGCATGCGCTCCAGTCGCTGAGGGCGAGCGCATTGCCGCCTGTTTATTCGGTGGGACCGGTAATAGACCTCGATGGACCGGTCAAGTGGCACCCGCAAAGGGCCGAGCAAGAAGCCATCCTGCAGTGGCTCGATAAGCAGCCACCTTCATCGGTGGTGTTCCTGTGCTTCGGGAGCATGGGGTGCCTGTGCGCGCCTCAGGTGAGAGAGATAGCGATTGGGCTGGAGCGGTCCAGTTTCCGGTTCTTGTGGTCGTTACGCGAGCCACCGAGGGGTAAGTTGGACCTTCCAGGTGACTATGAGAGTATGGATCAAGCATTACCGGTAGGGTTCCTGGACCGGACGGCCGGGACCGGCTTGGTTTGCGGGTGGGTTCCGCAAGTAACCGTCCTGGCCCATATGGCTATTGGTGGCTTCGTCTCGCACTGTGGGTGGAACTCCATATTAGAGAGCCTGTGGTCCGGCGTACCGACGGCCACGTGGCCCATCTATGCGGAGCAGCAGATGAACGCGTTTCAGATGGTGGCGGAGCTGGGATTGGCGGTGGAGATCAGGTTGGATTACAGGGAGGGGAGCGCATTGGTGTCGGCCAAGGAGTTGGAGAGAGGGCTGAGGTGTTTGATGGAAGGTGGTGGCGAGGTGAGGAGCAAGGTGAAGGAGATGAGGGATAAGAGCCGGATGGCCGTGACGGAACGTGGGTCATCACATGCTTCAATGAGGCGTTTGGCGCAGCAACTGCTGGCTGGGTTGGATTTGGATGATCAAGAAACGAAGTTACCACTTATCATATGAACCTCTTGCCTGTTAGACAATTCGACCCACACGTATGATTCTCATTATTTTCATTTTCGCCGGTTCTCAGAACATCACCAGCGTACTTATGTTTCCAGAAGAGATATAACCAATAAAACAACTAAGGATATGCATTATATGTCTATCATACCTCCTGTTACAGAAACATCCCCACTTCAACTGTCCTTCAAATGCTGCGCAAACACTTCCCTATGAAATAAATAAATAAATCGAATTGAATGCTGAATGCAAGGCATATCGTGAACAGGTTCTTTGGGGTTCTGCAACTGCATGGAATTGAGCCAACATCTGCATGTATTACCGTAGAAAAACCTTTGCAGGATATCCATTGACATTGGCAAACTTGAAATGCTCCATCAGCCGTAGGCAACGCCAACATCTAGACAAAATAATCACACAAAGAATGGCAAACCTGCATATATATCAGAGTGCTCTTCAATCAATGATGAAATTTAGAATACGGAAACAAAAGTATAAAATGGATATACTATTATACAGGGGTGACTGACAGAATTCCCGTGCTGTGAACGAAGTGAATTGACAATGTAGATTGATGACATATACATAACTGAGAAAGAGAGAAGTATAAACATGTACCTACGAACGAAACTTAAAGGAAAAACATGAAGATAAGAAGCTGAATAAGAAGACATTTCGAAAACAGAGGCTGATGGTAATCAGAGAGTGGAATGCATTAATGAGAAGATAAAAGCCATTCTCATTTTCTGTTTTCTTCTTCTCTTTTATAAATTGTTGACTAGCAACTTAAACAACTCGTAAGGACACGCTCGAACAAGCAAGAGAGAAATACCATCACATTCTTGATTTATCAAATTAGAGTCATACTCATCAACGAGCTTAGAATGGCACACTGAATGACATTTTTGCTTGAGAAGCTATCCAGGTTTACTCAAACCAAACTGGGTTTCATTCCAGTGATTTCCTAAGTCGTTTGATTGCTAAACCATAACAGATTTGGACGCGTCTTTTCAACAGCAAGATAACTTTGATTAAAGCACATTTTGCTTTTGGAACTCAAACTATTTAAGCATGGTTCTTTAATCTGCAACTAACTAATAACCATCTTTACAAGAAGTTGTGGCTGAAGCTGGGCTACTTATCATGTTTTATCTATTAGATGTTTCCATGGCGGGTTGCCTCTGATGGACACCTGAAATAAGTAAGACTCACCACAAAGTTGAGCACAATGCACAACACATGAATCTATCCACATATATGCTTTTTCTCAAGGAAATGACAACTTCGATGAATCATACACTCTAAATCATCATATTACAGTGTACCGATGCGAAGTCAAACTAAGATCGATACATGTAAAGATGCAGATGCACTTGATGTAAGAAATAACTATTTACCAGAAACCATATATTATCGGGTCATCCTAAAATAACATGCGACGAAACTCTTACGCGAATCTTTTAACACATAAAACAATGGCCAATTCTTGGTCGATATCAACGAGAGCAGGCTCAGCCGATGAGAACAAAGTTCGATATCAACGAGAGCAAACTTAGCCAATGAGAACAAAGTTTGGTCAAAACAAGGGTTCGCAATGAACAAAAAAATCAGCAGGCATTTAAGAGTCATCGATAGTGCAAGATGTCAATACAACAAAATGGTGAGATTATTGCAGAGGCTATTGATGAGGAGCCTCACCAATCGACAGCTTGAAGGAAATTGATCGACGAAATTGCCGACAGCAAACAATCTATTGATAGACAAAATCATTGACATCAAACTGTCTCACATTTTGGTGAAGTGTTGAGGCAATGTCATTTCTGAACAAAGGATTGCCAACACATCAGTCTAGGAGAAGACAATGGAACGACACGAGCACGTGATTGCTAAATGATTATGCCTACAATCTCAAGATTTGTGACCTCTTGCAAATAAACAGTGATAGAAAATTAGAGATCGTGTCTACAATTTGTTACTTCTTACTAGTAACTGTAGATATTACTAGGAAGTTATCTATGGATTCAAAATCCATAACTACTAGTAAATAAATGCTGATGGTGGGATATAAAAGCCCACATTGTCATCATTTTCTCCCTCGGTCTTCATAGCCAACGTGACGGAGGAACAAATGAGCAGCTTAGAAACAATTCCCTAGAAAAGCGGCGGTTAAAGTGTTAATCTAAATTCCCGAGAAAAGCAAGCGCAATAGAAAAATTTAAGACTTAGGCTTTTTCAAATTGTCATTAATTTCAAAAACTCCCTTTATTTGGTACACTTAGGGTGTGTAGGGTAATATTTATGTTCCTGGAAAAAATTTCTGTTCAGAAATAGTTTTTTCTATTTCTATTCCCTCGACTGGTTTCTGAGTAGAATAACACTTTTGGTTACTGCACAAAATATCTATTCTCGGAATAAAAAAAGAACATAAATACATTTGTTACGACCCTAAAAATTTCTATTCCCAATTTTTTCCATTTGATTATAAAAATATCAGTTGAGAATTAACAATTCATATTTGAATAAAACTGGACTTTTGTAAGGACTTAACTGATCAAGATATTCTAAGATGGCCTCAGAAAATCCAACGTAATAGTTAGTTAAAGATGGATGGCTAGAAACGGTAGCAGAGAGTTCCGCTGATTTATAACTCACAATATGAGGAGGTTGACAGTAAATATTTGGGCATTACAATTAACAGGTGCATAGACCTTTTGAACTTTAGGGTTTAGGATCTAGGGTGGAGGTATAGGTTATAGGGTTTAAGGAGTGGGGTGTAGGGTTTAAGGTGTAGGGTGTAGTGTTTAGGGTTTAGGGTGTAGGGTGTAGTGTTTAGGGTTTAGGGTGAAGGGTTTAGGGTTTAGAATTTTAGGATTTAGGTTACACTGAATTTGTTTCTTTAAAATGACATTGTTTCTCTTTTTGTTCCCGAAAACAGAGAGGTAATTTTTTTTCACTTTTTGTTTATGTTCCAAATCTATTCCTTCGCGACTGATCTATTCCAAGGAATAGAGAAATTAACTGACGTACGTAAATGAATTTCTATTCATTCTCTGTTCTGGGAAACAAAAGAAGAGAAAAATAGAGAAAAAGAAATGTTAACAAACAGGCCCTAACAGGGCACCAAATTCAGTTTATAATTGGGTAGAGATTGAAAATCAATCACATGCTCAGTTCTACACAAAAAATACCTAAAGTATCGATAGCCGATTTGGCTGGACTCTATCAGTACAATAACGAGTCGGCCAATCAATGCGTTGCTCGATGTAAGAATTTTCCTTAAAATTTTCATCAATGTCATCCTTACGTAGGATTTTCATTATTTTGGTGAAACGATATCCACCTACATAATAAGAGAGTGACAGAGTATATATGAAAATACGTTGAGCCGGGTGACTATCGTCAGTTCATAAGTGCCGTCACCCACGAGATATACCTGTAGATGACTCAGAAAAAGGGTATTCTGTAAGTTAGAGACTCTCCATTATGCGATGAATTCAACGATCTCACCCGGAGATTTTCCCTCTACCTGTTCATAGTCGAAGATACTGCTGTGGTGGACCACCAACCTTTAGAAGAGATAGACTGACAACAAAATTTCACTCGTGGGAGTCGTAAAAGACGACATGGACTTGCGAGCTGCTCATAGACGCAATTTCTTGGGAAGAGTTCCGCCGGTAATAGGACAAGAAAAGCCAGAAGAAGCCATGGGAAGTGGACAGGTGGAGATGGTGTTTGTGGCCACGCCGGGGATCGGCAACCACGTCCCCGCCGTCGAATTCGCGCAGCTCCTGGCCAACCACCACCCTCGGTTCCGCTCCACCATCCTCGTCATCACCGACCCCCACCGGGCCATCGCCAGCACCTACGTCCGCTCACGCGCCGCCGCCGCCGCCTCCTCCTGCGCCGCCGCGGGCAACCTCCGCTTCGTCCACCTCCCCCTGTCCGACCCGCCTCATCCGAGCGAGTACCAGTCCCCCTTGGCTTACCTCTGTCTGCACATCGCCAGCCACGCGCGTCTCGTCAAGCAAGCCTTGGTCGACCTCAGGTCAACGGGGGCCCAGGTCGCCGCTCTGTTCTTGGACATGTTCACCACGCCCATGGCCGACGTGGCTCGGGAGCTGGGCATCCCTCACTACCTCTTCTTCCCCTCGCCGGCGAGCTTTCTCGGGTTCATGCTCTATCTGTTGGACCCTGAAGCTAGGAAGGCTGTCGAGTCCGAGGACATGGGCACTGAGTTGGCCGTTCCGAGTTTCGTCAACTCAGTCCCGAAGCGAGTCTTGCCCTCTTCGGTTCTCAAGTGGAAGGATGCGCTTGCCTGGTATGTAGCCCATGCGGAAAGGTATGGCGGGACCGAGGGGATGGTCGTGAATACTTTCGAGGAGCTCGAAGGGCACGCGCTGGAGTCGCTCAGGGCGAGCGTGTCGCCGCCGGTCTATTCGGTCGGACCGGTTATAGACCTCGCTGGACCGGTCGAGTGGCACCCGCAGAGGGCCCAGCAAGAAGCCGTCCTGCGGTGGCTCGATAAGCAGCCGCCTTCGTCGGTGGTGCTCCTCTGCTTCGGGAGCATGGGGAGCCTGGGCGCGCCTCAGGTGAGAGAGATAGCGAATGGGCTGGAGCGGTCCGGGTTCCGGTTCTTATGGTCGCTACGGGAGCCACCGAGGGGTAAATTGGACCTGCCGAGTGACTATGCGAACATCGATCAAGCATTGCCGGAAGGGTTCCCGGACCGGACGGCTGAGATCGGCTTGGTTTGCGGGTGGGTTCCGCAAGTAACCATCCTGGCCCATGAAGCTATAGGTGGGTTCGTGTCGCACTGTGGGTGGAACTCCATATTAGAGAGCTTGTGGTACGGCGTACCGACGGCCACGTGGCCCATCTATTCGGAGCAGCAGATGAACGCGTTCCAGATGGTGGCGGAGCTGGGATTGGCGGTGGAGATCAGGTTGGATTACAGGGAGGGGAGCGCATTGGTATCGGCCGAGGAGCTGGAGAGAGGGATGAGGTGTTTGATGGACGGCAGCGGCGAGGTGAGGAGCAAGGTGAAGGAGATGAGGAATAAGAGCCGGACGGCTGTGATGGAACACGGGTCATCACACGCCTCGATGCGGCGTTTGGTTCAGCAACTGGTGGTTGGATTGGACTCGGATGATCAACAAACGAAGTTACCAATCATCGGATGAATCTCTGCCCGTTACCGACTATTCAAAACACATGTACGATGCTTGTTATTATTATCACTTTTCGCCGGTGCTGGTGATAATATCACCAGCGTACTGATGTTGCCACAAGAGCGATGATTAATAAAACAACTCAGGATATGCAAATATCAAACCTACTGTTATAGAAACATTGCTGTTCTTGAAATGCTGGGGCAAAACACTTCCCCCATGAGACGAAGAACAAATCGAATCGAATGCCGAATGCAAGGCTTATATTGTCAACGGGGTTTTGGCCGTGGAATTGAGCCGAAAGTCGAAAGTATTACTGCATAGAAAAGCCTTTGCAGGATATCCATTGACATTGGTAGTCTACAAATGCTCCAAAACAATCACACGAAGAAAGAAAAAATCTACACTTGTATATATCAGAGTGCTCTTCAACAATGAAAAAATTTTAGAATACGGGAACAAAAATATGATCTGAATACACTATTATACAGCTGCGACTTAATAGAATTCCCACACCGGCACTTCTCGTTTGAAATCCCAGATTCCCAGAGAGAATCTGAAATGAGAAATCACGAGTATCTAACATACAGCTGGGTGGGGCTACTCAGTCACGAGCAAGCCCGCCGGTCAAAAAATAACAGATCGAAATTCCCGGGCCCATGGAGCGGGAGGCGTGCTTCCGCTACTCGTGTATGAAATCATAGGCTCGTCATGTTGACACACAATAAAAACCATGCGTCAGAGTGAAGAGGATCTTGCAAAATCATCTCTTAAGATTGACTGACATATAGTACAGGGACGAGCCCAGCCATTTTCCCATCCCGTCCTGGGCGCTTTTTCTTCACCTGCAGGAAGAGTGGAACGCAAATTTGAATGGATGGGGATAAATCCCGATACTTACAATTAACAGGAAAGACAATTAGTTCCGAAAAAGAGACGAATCATCCCGACTATTTGGTTTAGTAAAAGATCAGACAAATGAAGCATCATATAGCATAGTTATATAGATCATGCTACCATTAGCGACAAAGTCAGATTCTGTAGATTATATATGGGATCCAATAGAAAAGAATGTAACAAAATTTGCAAAATGACCCAGGGTATACTTACATAAAACCAGCCATCGACTTCATCCTCAATTTCTACCTCTTCTCCTGCTGTCAAATTTAACTGCAAGAAATATCAAAAATTAGTCACAAACATGTCTCTCAACAAGCGGCTATTTGTAACTCATGAGAGCTTGAAGAAAATGTTCCATAAAAAGGGCAGGCTATAGGTAAAAAAAAATCAATTGTCTAATCCAATTCGAGATACCAGAAGACCGAGAAAGGGCTAGACAATTTCTCCCATAGAATTTGTTACTACGTTCTATCAAAGTACAGATCACGAGATTCTCTATCAAAGTAGAAGCGAAAATTTTGTGCACAATTGGTGATTTGGAAGGTTAAACATTCAGTAATCAATTGTCAGTCATTTTTCTGCTCAGTGAATAACCTCGTCATCTCCCCCAGCAGTGAAGTCATATAAAGCGGTTCCAAATTGTGGATTCCCAGATGTAGTCCTGTCATCGTCCTGGGAACCAAAACTTTGGGAGCCATGCCCAGCCAAAGGATTCTCAAATGATTCATACCGTCGCATAACGGATGATTCGTATGACGGAGGCTCTTCCCTAATCTGGGGGAAAAAGGTCAAAGTCACTTGGTCAGCTGGATTAGAGCGCCAATCAAAAGAACTGGCAAAACAAAACATAGCAGACAGAAAGAATGTGATTGCGGGATTTTGTAACTAACCGGAGAGCTTACACCCTCGTATATCGAGGGACCACCAACAGGCGTGCTACTAAACCTGCTTGTTCCAGACCTCTCCTGTTCATTAACAGTATAGAGGAATTATAGTATATCATAACAACAAAAAACCAAGCCTTATCCCATTAGGTATGGTTTCATCAAATAAGTAATAGTCATTACAAAGTTTTCAAGTTAGCTTCACTGTAGCACACAAACACTAGCTCTTTTTTTTTTCCCTTTTTTTGCTTTGTGGAAAAAACATTATATCATTTTTTCACTCTACACACGCACGCACACAAGTATACTTGTTTTCTCATGGAAGGGGAAAAAGAAAAAGATTATTAAGAGATTGAAAGAAAGCAGCTTCAACAAGCGACACATTCTCACAAATAAACATTTAGGGTCACTATAGACAAACTAAATGGGATAACATGCACACCGTTGCCTGTGAAGAACCATAGGATGGTTTGGAACTGAACAATGAAGGATAGTTCATTCCACCAAAGTGGGATGATATTGAAGTTTCAACCGATCCTGTTGACTCTGGGGAAGATGTGCCAGATGACCTTCCATCATCTTCCTGCATATAATTCATGACAGATATGGAAAATTAGCTTAACGTATGCATGCAGCCTCCCTCATACACTACTGCTATTGCAATCACTGAACAGTTTAGCATAGCTCACATCAACTTCTGTAGTTTCCAAGAGCGTCTTCGCCCACATATCATCATAACTCACTGAAGCCCGAGAAAAGATGTTCTCCTCCTCAACATCAGGAGCATCAGTTCCAGCACCAGCGAGAAATTCGTTAACCTGAAAAAAGAAAACTGATTCACTATATACAGGGATCTCAGATCACAATGTCTTGACCATATAAGATTCTGCATGACACTTAAGTTGATGTCTGAACAGACCATATAATGCCTAGTTATTACACAACCTGGGTGAGGGAAAACTTATTGAAGAACACGGAAAGCACAGATGTAATTTAGAAATCCGCAAAAAATCCAGCACCATAAATCAATGGTGCATTACAAGGTCAACAAAGCTATTGAATTTTATAGGAAATGAGATTAAGAAAAAAGGGAAATGCAGAATTATCTGACAATGAAAGTGTATATGCAGACAATCTCCTTCTACATGAAAAGGGTAATCCACCATATTATCTTGAAATCACAATTAAAACTCCAGAACATGTATGCAGATATATCTTTCAGTTATATGGAATCAGAGAGCGGAATGATAAGACTCAAGCCAGACCTCTTGCTCGGTAAAAGTAAACCCTCCTAATCACGTCCATGATTGACCTGAATAAGTGACTTTAACAAGGCAAAAGAAGGGACAAGAAAAATGACATCGGGAAATGACAAGTTCTAAAGAGTTCCAAAAGGAAAGTAATCTCCTAAAAAAAATTAATAACCACAAACGTCATTCCAGGCTCACATGCAGATAGTGTACGAGAGATCAGCAGATTAATGACTACAAGTTTTAGCTTTCAGTTTAAGCTGAAATAGAAGCAAGGCTTCCTCGGAAGTAGAGGAACGATTTCAAAAGAAATATAGCAGTTGTTCTCTCTTTGAAGAAAAAAATAATTTACAAACAGAAACATATATGCCATCCTAGACAAAACAAACTACATACCCTGCTCATAGCTGGTGCATTTTTACCCCACAAGCCGTCATCACCAAGGTTTGTAGCCCAAGCATTTACTAGGTCATCGTCAAGTGTCTCTGGCTCAGCATGAACTGGTTTGGAATCATATATTAGATCCGATATTCCAGTGGCAACAGCTGGATCACTCAAACCAGTCGAAGCACTTATATTATGCTTCGTGCGGTACACGTCAATAAGTTTTGCACTGTCATAAGATTCAGGGCGGAAAAGTGTAACGAAGAATGAGTTGTAACAGCAATGTAAACTTCAATAATTTGATCAACAAAAATAAGAATATAACAATTCTAATTAATCATTACTCATAAATCTCCCGTCAGCAGCAACTTATTATATGAAGCATTTCTTAGTAACTGAGAACTGGAATTTCAGAATAGTAAATTAAATTTAGGTTTTTAAACTCGGAAATTTTGAAACCAATTTGAGCAATTGAAGTAACAAGAGATCACCGTTTAAATTGATATTTGTGAAGCTCATCCTTTGGAGGAGAAACTTCACCAGTCTGATTAGCTCTCAGCTCTGGCTTATGTCATGATAAGTACAAAGTTAATAAAATAAGTTTCCAAGATTAAGCTTGTGTTGAACATCAATTCCAAATCAGAGCAGAAGCACAAAAATGGATTGTGAAGTACTGAAACTTGATAAAGGTACAAAACATTATCTTGACATACGTCTATTACAAGCTTCACCTATTATCCCACTCCCAGAAGAACATAACAATCAAATCCTATGGCATCAAAACCAAGGCTAGAACAATGAGGTGTTCCAACAAGTAATTTAATCGAAGGGAACTGTCACTGCATAACTAAGTTTTGTGGAAGTTACAGCTGCATTTTCATGAAAAACACATCATCAGATTCACCTTCATCGGATGATTTCTCTTAGACCATGCAGCATTCTTTGTACTATTTTTTTGAAATACATAAGACTATGAGATTTAAAAACCTAGGGCCGTCAAACTTTCAATTACACGAATGGATTTATATGGTCATGAACTCCCAGGGATTACTTTAAAAAAAACAAGGCCACTGCAATCATTGTTTTATGAAAAGCTATTTCGGAATGAAAATGGTGGAACACAATGTTTCTTGCTTAATCTACCTAGATTGCTCCACACTTTTTAGCAATAAAATCTGCACAAGCAACGACAGAGTACTTAATGCAATTGTACCTTATCGGGCCCAAAGGTAGATACTTTGTTCTCGGAACATAACAGAACAGCGAAACCTGATCTAACAACCTCTCATGTGTTTCATATAGCTTCTTCAATTCTTCATCTGTCCATTCCTTCTTCGCATTATCATGGTGACGTATGTCCCTGAGTATCCAAATAAGAAACATCATGATTTCTGAAATGAGAAACGTAGACACAAAAGAAGAAACAAATGAAACTTACTTAATCAGCTCATCTTGTGCCATATACATTTCATCAAGAACCTTTAACATTGGACTTATTAAAACTCCGAGACCAGTACCACTGGCACCTTGATCTTCACCATTACTGACATGCATCTCTGAAATTTGAGACTGCATACCACCCTGAGCTAAAGCATGCAAGAATTCATATATCTGTAGTCTAAATGGCTCGCCGGACCTGATTGCCATGGTAGTGAGAGCTTGAGCAGCAATAATGCGAACCTAGAATTTCAATAGGAAACTTAGCTTTATAAAGGAAAGCAGAAATAAACCTAAGAGTAAAAACAAACAAATTTCACAGCTACCGAACTCATGGGAAAACAGTAGTCGTTTTCCAAATAACTACACATGCAAAGACTTGATACTCAATAGCTAGTGGCGAAGAGACAACCTAATATACCTACTTGCCTGTAAAGTTGGGCAAATGAATTTTCAAATTTTCAGAAATTTCTGGAAAATCCGCGCTGTAATATTCTCTTCATAAAAATCTCCAACAAATACCTAATAAGAACAATTCTAGAAAATTGTCTCCTTTTCACACACATGTAACATAGACCAGAACTTGCTTTCACATGAACCCCCTTTAGAATAAAATAGAAGAAGCAAGAATAACCTGAGGCATGATAATAGAATGCCTTCTATGTCTATTAGCAGGATGACAATGAATATCTTAGAGAGTCAGTGCCTAAAGGATCTGTTCTTATTAAAAAATGTACCTAATAATACAGGAACTAAGAACTTGCATAACATCCCAGCCAAAACATTTTGAAGTTCAAGGAAAACAAAATCTGGAAATCCCCCATTATCTCTGGAAAAGAACAGCATTGTTCTGAAACCATATATAATGTATCATACGGATAGCATCTTTGAAACTTGGAAAACATGGATTTCAATGCTCAATTGTAACAAAATTTCCTAACAGAGTAAAGGAGAGTGCCTGTTGTCTTTAGTGATCTAGGACAGTTGCAGAAGAGAGAGCACCATCTGTTATCACAAACTTTTGCTTGACATAGAGAGTGTGATAGGACAAATAAAAAATTCTGCTGAGTGCAGTCAAGGTGAACATCTTACATTTCATGTTTACAGACAACAATTCACATGTTCTGATGCAGAAGAAGAATTATGAGTACTTCTTTAATGACCTTAACTTTCTTTAAAGTTGGAAATTTAAATTAAGTTTTAAGAGTTTGGTTGTGTTATGATGCAGACAGCAGAGTAACCGAGCACATATTAACTTATACCTCCCAGCTGCCACTGAAAGCACACCTCTGCAGTCGAGTTAAGGCACCAGCTAAAGTAGGATTACGAGAACTAGCAGCTGCAACCATTTTATCTGCATCCAACATCATCAAGGCAGTACCAGGAGGAGTTGCAGATTCCCAAGCATATTCAGAAGCAGCATAGTTCGCATTTTCTCCAAGGAACCAAACCTGCCCAGATATATATATGCAATTATAAGGAGAAATACATTCATGTCCAAATGCAGATCCAGCAAAAATTAAACCAGAGTTTCCACAATTATTTAAACAGGAAAACAAAAATCTTACCGCTGCTTGGACAAGCCTCTGTAGTGCAAGAGCTGACTTTGGATCGGACGCGGACACAGTATCGACGGAGGTAAGACCCAACATAGACCCTGGTTGAGGTGGTGGTAAATCAAGAACAACAGTAACTGCTTCCAAAGCAGTGTGCTTCCCATCAGGACCAGCTCCAACAAGACATGTCTGTTAAGAGGGGAAATATACATTAATATGTGTTAATGCAGACGATATCATCTAGCGACAGTCAAGCAGGTGAAAATAAATCATCAGCACCTAAATACCTCTAATTTAGTTTATTTCACAATGTGGATTAAGATGTGAAAACAAGAAATATATAGGACTGGAGGAGCGACACAAGAAAGACACGACCAACAGGTAACAAAACAGAGAGAGAGAGAGAGAGAGAGAGAGAGAGAGAGAGAGATAATAAGTAAATGTTGAGCTCCAACAGCGAAAAGAAAGCAGATATAACAGGTAACTTAAAACGAAAAAAGCAAGCATTTGCCCATGTAGATGCACGTCCAAATTTTAGCTGTTGAGAGTTATTTTAGCCATAAGGAGGGAGGAAATAGGGATATGACCAACCACAAAGGCACAACATAGTATCAGAAAACAACAATAAATCCATTGGTCAGAAAGCATACTTTCCACAGTAATTGTAAGACATCAGCGTCTATCTTCCCAGGAACTTTTGTTGCAAATATCCTTGCAATTTCAAGAAGAGTGACAGCCATATCTGGAGTAGCCTGAACAACAAAAGCCCATACATAGATGACCAACATTATCATAGAAAGGACAAGCTACTATAGGGAAATAAAACACACTGAAATAATTGGAAGCTAGAAGACACAGGAGATATAAGGAAGCAGACACGTTGACTTCAATTGACAACTAGTTCATACAAATCTCACAGAGTATAATAGATCTTCAGCAACTAGCCTTTTAATTTACCAATAGATACTTTTCCCCAGAAAAAAAAAACACTTTTCCCCCTTAATCAATGAAATCATCAGTTGCTTTCCACAATAAATGGAGCAAAAGACAACAATGGGAAGTAGAAGACACCACCTTCGATGGACCTTGTTTGTTTTAAGGTTGTGGGTTACTGAAGAACCACTTTTCACATTAAACAGTACATTAGAATTTTTACAGTTTTGTATGGGGGTAATAACCCCTAGATAACTTTCTCATGAAATCTTATCACTCCGCTTTCCAGGGGGAAAATCAGCCTACCTAATATAAGGAAACAAAAGTCTGTTTCAAACAAGAACCAATGAAAATGCTTCAAAGGGCTATAAGAAATCTGAATTAGTTGGATCATGAGTATAAACGCAGCGGTACATCAAGACTTATACCCACTGGTCACAGCCATGATCTGTCATATAAGCCATTATGACAATTAGGTCAGTCACATACCTTAAAACGAGCATGCAAAGTGAGCAAGATGTCATTCAGAAGTGGTGCAGGCCAAGATGGATCCGAAAGCTCTGATGCAATAATAGATCCTAGTTCTTCAAAAGATTCATATGGACTTTGCATCCAGATCAATGCTTTGATCACCATTGCTCGAATATAAACACACTCGCATGCCACTGTTGTCCTCACCACTTCCATCAATGAAGCCAAGAGACTAGCTATTGTATCCTTGCTACCTGGCCCACTAGATATAGAAGAGGTTCTCCGACTACCTATATCAAATAATGACAATAATATTCGGTGAAATAATCCGAATCATCTGAAAGATAATCCAGAAGTAAGAGAGAAGCCAATACTGCCAACTTAGCAAAAGAATCTCAAGGAACTAAGCCACTGAAAACCACACATGTTCTTTAGCACCCAGATGAACAAAGAGCCCCAAGGGTCATGTAAAAAATAACGATGAGGAACCAAAAAGAACAGTGATATATACTTAACCTCCTGAAAATGGATTTTCACTATCTGGATCAACTGAATCTACACTTTCAGCAAATGTGTTGACCTGAACACTTTCATCAATATGCTGTAAGCCTAGAGCAAATGCAGCAGCTCTACTCTTCCCCATTTCCTGCACCACTCTGGCAGCAGCATGAAGGACTGGCCTAGAGAAGCTACGAAAAGAACTCTCCAACCTGTGAGAAACACAAGGACAAAAAATAGCCGGATGAGTCAAATTTTTGTATCAAAGACACGATAATGACCACAATTAATTTGATTAGACATCAGATGAACAAAACATAAACTAACTATACTAAAGATCCCATAAGTCAGAAAATAAAGGAAAACAATGACTCTCACCTTCTCATTACTAATTTAATAAGGGGTTGTGGGCGCTTAGTCTTTTGAGATTTGTCTTTACTTGGCTTTGGTGGAAGAGCATCTTTTGATTCAGCACTAGAGTCCTTTGATGACACAGACTGTGCTTCCTGTAACTTGAGAATCTCCCTAGTTAAACGATACCAACCTGCAGCCCTTTCCTCAGCCCTGCACAAACAGGAATAGTAAATTTATCCTGCTCAAAAAATAAGGATAAGCATAGGAAGAAACAGGTATAACTTTTGCAAGGTGTAATGTGAGGGGATATGGAGAAACAAGTGTTTGTAAGGATATAAACAAACCTCTCTGTGTTGTCATATTTTCCTAAAATACATAAGATTGCCTCAAAGCATACTCTTTCACTTGGGTCTAGCAGAAGCTGATAGAGCACAGAGTTAAACTGAGATTTTATATCGGGCCGTTCTGCAGTGAAAATATTTCAATGACCAAGTCAATCTTCATTCTGGTGGGCATATATACACTATAATATGATTTATCAATAAACTCACCATCCAGTGCTCGAGCCCTGGAAATGCTGTGACATAATCTGGCTAGTGAAACTCTTGCAAGGACATCATGTAAATGCAAGACATCCTGCAAGGCCCCTGATCCACATAAAAGCAAACATCTTAGCAGCATAAAAGTGAAAATGCAGTCCCCTTAATGAGAAAGAACCGTCAGTAGATCAGCATGTAATGTAATAATACCAAAGACGAGATTGTAACAACAGCTCGTCGATAAGTGCAGATATATTCACCTCTAGAACCCAACAGCTTGTTCAAAATTATTCGTGCAAAACAAAACGAAACCCATGAAAACTCCCTCTCTTCCTACTAAGGCAAGGAAGAGCAGTATGGGTGAAGAGGATTAAGCACCAACCTACTTTTCTGAAACGAAAAAAATTTCTCTTGCATCATAGCAAACTTAGAGATTGATTCTTTTTTTCATTTCTTACAGTAAGAAGCTAAATGCATTGGCAAGAGGAAGATTAAACCTCAGACAAATGTTGAATAAATGGTGAATAATTCAACTTCTCAAGGGGGGAAACATGACTTTCAAGGTGGGAAGAATAACTTTAAAGCAGAGTCAGAGCAAGCTACAAATACAGAGAGGGACACTGAGAGAGAGAGAGAGAGAGAGAGAGAGAGAGAGAGAGAGAGAGAGGGAGCGAGGGATTGTACCTCCAGGTGCTACAAGCTTTCCTGCAGAAAGATTGTGTAAGAAATGTTAGCCAGAAGAATTACCAGTAATATCAATATAACTTCCGATCAGCAAGGACAAATATGAGTTCAAACAAACTAATCACAAGAATCGTATGAGTATTCTCAACTCACCTAATGCCATTGCAACTCCATAAGGATCTCTTGTAGCCAGCTCACAGATGATTTCCAAAGAATGCCTCACAGCAACAGGATCAGCAAAGGAAACACTGCAACAAAAAATGAAGAATAGGTTTATGTACATCGTAAAGTAGTATTCAATCTAGTAAACTACGTAGCTTCACTGTTCTGAACATCAAATCCCAAGAAACATTACTATCCTAATTGATTAAACACATTCCAATAGCAAACTAATGGAGGAAAACCTAACTAGTGCAGGTACACTTCCTTAACAGAATAAAAGCAGCAATAAAACTATCTTAGTATCAAGATCACATGTATACCATCCAAAAAACAGAACCAAGATAACCATGAACAGAAAAGAGAGTATGTATTTACAGTAAAGATACAGCAGTGACTAGAATAAGCTAAGCACAATTAATACAGTACACTAGTTGATGTTGAAGACCCTTTCACTAATTTACTGCAATTGCACAAGAATAAATCCAAAATTTGCTTTAATTTGCAGCATCAGCTTCAAGAGCACCCTGCCCAGAAAGATGGCCATTCTTTACATGACATAAGAGCATCACTTGAACATGCAAATTCACTTAGAAAATAGAAAAATGACAGTACAATTCGAAACTGACAAAATTGACTTGTTTTTTTTTTTTGGTAAGGAGAATTGACTTGTTTTTCACCCATTATTAATTAAAAAAAAAACTTGTACTGATGTTAATATATATTGGAACTAACATGAAATGACATGAATAACCCACATGAATTTGATGACACGATACGACACAAATTATCATCAGCCCTACCAATTTTTCCGTCTTTATTCACAAAAGAATTCCCTCTTTTTTGTCTTGAAAGACTTCATTTTTACTCCAAATAGATTTCTGAGAAATATAACTATAATTTAGCTGTCACTCTAGAAAAATCAAAACTCGTACAACCTAAAAAATACGTTTTGAGTCTCCAATTAGTTGTTCCGAAAACATCAAGAAATAGGTTAAACTGAATAGTACAGATCTTCACTGTCATTCCAATGGATTCTGTCACATAACAGTAAAGATTTACAAATGCCTGATGATAAAAATTGTCAAATATACATTCTACAGTAGAGATTTGTCACAAAAATATCTGGACACCCAGATAAACAAAATCTTACCCCTGAACCGAGCGATGAAGAAATGCTGGATTCCCAGGATCAAGGGGGAGTCTTCTTAAAGCACTCATAGCAGCATATTGCAGATTACTCCGGATGATAGACTAATAGTTCATACATTAGAAAATCAAGAGATCAGCAACATAACTTGCCAAAAGTATAAAACCAAGGTTCAATGAGCATTTACAGAGACATTAAAATTGGCATGGGAAAAGACCTTACCAAAAAAAAAAAAAATTGGCATGGGAAAAGAACGGAATAAGAAAATGGTTATGAAAGATGATCACTATCGGCAAGACATGGCACACAAAAGTAACAAAGAAAGTCATGAATGATCTACTGAAGCTGATATTTTACCTCCTTATCACCACCTTTTGTCCCAAATACACCTTTCTTACGTTTTTGGTTAGCATCTGCAACCTGAAATCATATGCATTTCGAAAAAAATAAAAACCTGATCACTTAAGTCAGCTAGGAACCAAAGCATAAAGCAGTCCAAAACCATTCCAACACGTCTAGAAAGTACCAATTCAGAATGCATGAGACAATTATTAGTCAGAGTTCAAAACCCCGAAGTTCAACCTTTAAACCACATCTAACTAAAATAAACACTGTTCTTGCAATATACACAGCTGCTGCTGCTTATGATCCACATCAACGTCTAATACTAAGAAAGAAAAAAGTACTCTTTTTTTCTTTGGGTTAAGTGGGAAAAGAGTATTTACTTAAGAGCTTCTAACTCCAACTCCATCCAAGCTCTCAGAAACATTGTGAATTCCTCCCTAAAGTATGAAAGAAGGAAGCTCAAACAATAGCATCACAAATTAACTATTCTAGGCATTTTTCCAGCTAATCTGTTCATACAGATGCCGTAGCCTTACATATCGATGGTGTCTAGAATTCCTCCTCTCCCTTATCTTTATAAGCTCCAGAACATATTCTTCTCCCTATTCCCCAGGCCAGAGATGTCACCTAGCAATCCAAACCAAGAGGAATGTGTCATCTGGTAATAACCAGTAGCACCTAGACCTAGACTTTCTTTTCTTCCTAATTAAAATATCAAACCTTAGTAGCAATCTACCTATATTTACACTACTTAAATCAAGCGAACTTCAGCAACAAGCTAATTTAAGTCCACTTACTCACAACATGTGTCAAACAGGTAAAACATCCCCCAAATTCATAGACTTCAAATTGTTTTTGCCTGCAAGTTAGCATACTATCAACCCCGTCACACGATACTCTTTATCCTCCCACAAACAAAATGTAGTATTAGAAAAGAGATTAAACACTGAATCTAATAACTACTTTATTCTCTAAATGATTGTTCTGATGTATAACGATGGTGCAACTCGTCAAGGAAAAGGGTAAAATGTCACAAGTACAACCTTTTTAAAACAGAAATGCCACAACTTACAAAGGGCATACAAGAAAAATGCTTAGATTTGATAACTATAATGATCATCTAAATATGTTCAATCAACTTGAAAAGATAGAAACATAAGAAAGGATTCAAAAATTAAGTCAGAACCAGGCAGAAGTTTTTAAAGGGGCAGCAAGTTAGCCAAAAGTGAACCATGTCAAGCAATCAAAAGGTTAATGGAGGTAGACAAACCTTACCATGGAAACACAATCTACATAACATAAAACTTTCTGAGGAAAGCAAAATTTTTTTAATGCAAAATTATATATTGACATCTGACAAACCTTATCGAGAATATCAAACACAATTTCGTACAGGTGGGACAAAATCTCTGTGTTGCTTGAAGGAGCATATGTAAGGGCCTTCAAAGCTTGCAGCCTCCGTGCATGGACTTCGAAAGATATGGCAAAAAGTCAAACATTATCTCAACCGTCAGATTTCAAATCATATATACACTCTGACAAATGAAGTGAGCAACACAGCAAATAATATGGTTTTGGGAAAGCCATTCCTCATGTGACTGAAAATATATATTCCAGGTTCCCAAACAATCATTTTCCCGCGCTTTATAATTAGCTTCCCTCTGACATAAATTGTCAATGGATCAGAAAGCAATCTGCATTAGATAAGAACTTTTTATATATATTTATTACAAGCTACACAAAGACCATCCATAATAGAGTTAGTTCACAACAATCCAAAGTATATGTTCAAATGCTATAGCCAAATTGTGAGGGACCATCAATGCATTAGTAAACTAGAAGAAAAATAGGCTTTCCCTCTTGAATGAGCATTGTTAGAAAGTAGGCTTTATTCATGTCGAAGCCAAGTTTTGCCCCTATTGATTCCACACATGTCGCTCTCAGTCCAGTTTGCATGTGAGAGGGGGTGTTACAATATCCCATATCAATTGTCTACACGGTTTCAATTTCACGGGCTTTCTAAAGATGATCTTGAGAAAGAAGAATTTCATACTTGAAGCAGAAGAAGTATGTTTTGCAAGTAGAGACGGCAGGATGACTGAAAAAGATTACTCTAGATAGAGCCTAAAAGAACGGGGAAAGAAAAGGAAACCATGCAGAATTACAGATGAAGGTAAAAAGTTATTTACATTCCACATCTACAATAGTGGCCTCTGTGGTGAGCAGTTTTACCACTCGCGGTACAACGTCAGCTCGAGTCACTCCTCCAACAGTATCCATGTCAGCAAGGGCATCCCAATTAGGAGTTGGAATTCCACCTCCAGGATTTGAACCTTGAGTACCAGTGTCAGATAAAATCCTAGCCAAGTAATAGTATACATAACGAAGGACACTCCTATCTTCACATTGCTGACTGAGCTGCCAGTAGTAATAGAGACATTAATTGGCAAGAGCAACTCATGTAATGATGATACACAAGTAACAGTTCTACGCGAAACTTAACCAATATAACAACCCATCTAAAGATTTAACGCAAGCTAAAAGTATACCGCTTCAGACAAGTCAATAATGTTTCAACTGAAATAAACTTAACCTTTGCAAAGCACAAAATCTGAAATTGTTGTGCTAAAATAACTAGGCAAATATATCATAGCAAACCAAACAGACAGCAGTAAAAACCAACTAGAATTTTTTTTTTAAAGTAAAATGAAGAAGCAGAGCACACCCCCCTCCCCCAAACCAAAAAGAATAAAAAAAAAAACTACAAAATTCAAGCAGAAACATACCATGAGAAGAGATGGAGCCAAAGACGGATCAACTGAATTGTACACAGCCAGTTTGGGAAACACATGATGCACTAGCTGCTTTTGAGAGCTTTTCTGTCAACACGAGACAAGCGACACAACTCAGGAAATTTCAAACAAAGCGACAATAAATGGAAAATCAAAATTTAGACTTAGGGAAGCCTTACCTGATCAGATGTTGCAGCTAGTTCATGAATACTCCTAGCAAGTTGAGAATAGGAGACGGGCTGTAAATATTTTGAGCAAAGAAAAGGAAATCAATTCCTAACATCAAAGCACATATTTCTACGTAAACAAGACTTTCACCTCACTCATGAATGCTTAGGCCAGTAAAGATGCATGTTACTTGCTATATCAATAGCCATCAAACTAAAAAATGACAAAACACCAGGGAATACTATAATCAATAGTGTGGGTTGCAAGTTTTGGCCAGGAGATGCAAAGAGAAATCATTATAGACTTATAGCATAAACAAGGCAAATAACATGATGTGGTGGCAAGAGAAGATCAACCATTCTGCAGTGACTGGCAAGAGAGTGAAGGAATTTCTCATTTTTAAGAGGAATGAAAACCCATTTTCCTTATAAAGACAACAATTTGCAACTTCAATTTTCCTTAAGAGAGAAGAGGGGGCAAAACTCTTCTCAAGATGAAACAAAACAGAGGCAATATATTTTTACTGCATATATAGGCAATTGTCGAAGGAGGAAAGAAATCAAGGAGCACCGCTACTGTTCAAAGACATAAAATTATGAACCTACAAGTGCCCAGCCAAACACATTTATTGCCAATGTAACCCTCTTTTCTATAGATCGTCGAAATTGAGTCCATGTACCATGGGATTCCACATAAGCAAAAGCCACTATCCTAGCAAATAATTTTATACAGAAGCAAACATAACCAGCCAGTCTCTCAGCTTGAGTTTCCGGCTAGTGTGAGACACCACCAAGAAATATGTTGCCCTCAAATCAAGGCTCAACTCCATCCTACCATTTATCTGAACTGAATTCATTCTCTTTCATAGGACATAATACATATATGTAGCAGAAGTTTTCCTCAAAAACTGGAAGTTGTCATGAAATACATCCATAATGTTAGCATATTTCCTGGCATTGCATCTCGGACGTAAGCCAGACCTTGTGGACAAATCACAGCATGTGCAAAATAATACAAAACTGAAAAGAAGAACAGAATAAAATAAAAAAAAACAGAATAACATTTAAAGGCCATGCCAATTTGAACTCTTAACTTGTATTCTTGCTCTTCTAAAAACTTAAGCGGCCACAAAACATGTCCACGATGATCATCAAGCAATTCCTTAGCAATATTAAAAGAATTTAGAGTCTTATCAATCTGAAACTTTCCTAAGAAAAGAAAGGGGCACATCTAACACTATACTATGATACAATATGACATGGAAGGCTTCTTTACTCACATACTTCATACAAGACGACCATTCAAAAAGGCTAAACTCTAATAGGCCTTGTGAATCTTATGCACAGATCATGCAACAACATCTGGTGCCACATGACGAGTTTCCCAGTGCTCTATACTTTCTACCATAACTTCACCATTGATTGCATCATATGCAATACATATGAATATATAAAGGAAGAGCATCTATGATATGTCTACCAAACTACTACAATCACCAACTACTCTCATCCAAAAATGCACAGCCTGGTCTTTTAATACATCAAACACTAATATGGATCATCTGGTTTGTTCGATGCAAACAATTTATTGCTAATAGACACAAGTCCCTAGTCACACCTTAACAAACATTCCGCGTCACCTCCTCTATTGAACATTCACTCTTTATTACTACATGAAGCCTTCCATCTCTCCAAATTTGGAAATCAGCAGCACCCTGAGTCAACATGCGAACAAGCGCATTACACTCGTAGGATCCCCAGAAGAATAAACCTTCTCCATTTTGATAACGGATGAATTTCACTTTCCATGCCACATCTTACATGGTTTCAAATCAACAGCCTCCTCTATTGCGCATTCACTCTTTATTAGTAAATGTAGCCTTTCATCTCTCTAAATTTGGAAATCAGCAGCATCATGAGTCAATATACGAACAAGTGCATTACACTTGTAGGATCCCCAAACGAATAAAACTTCTCCATGTCGATAACAGATGAAAATCACTTTCCTCTAATTTTGCATGGAATCAAATCAACCAGTTCTTTCCTCTAAATTTGATCCAAGGGAACAATTAGCAATTCGAACCGCCTGCCATTGAACTTTCACCGGAAGAAACTCATACAGCTTGGCGGAAGAGTGATGTCAGACCTAATTCAAGTTCTAACGGGAAAGGGTAACTTCTATAACAGCATTTATCAGCTGACGATATCGACCAAAATCAGACTGTTGAGACAGAAACCCCCGTTCGCTCCCTTTATCGTCAGCAAGCACTCAACTGATGCACTCAACACAGGAAGAGGAAGCGAAAGAAAAGGGCAATGTAAAGTCCACTAAAGGTAAAGCTCAGCTAGAAGTCAATTAAGAAGTAAAATCGATCAGAGCCGAACCAATTACAAGTTCCACGCGGGATCAGACACGAGTGGAGGAGCAGGATGGAGTGGCTAACCTTTTTCTTTTGCCTCTGGGGCATGATGTTGGTGCGGACGGGGTTGAGCGCGGCTTTAGCAGCGGAAATGGTGTCGTTCTGGATCTGCATGAGAGTGGCCTTCCTGGACTTCCTCTCGGAGGCAGGAGCCACCGGCCTCCCGAGCGCCGTCGGCTGAGCCGCCGGAGCCGACGAAGCGGACGACGACGTCGTCGACGACGCGGTCGACGGATCGGCGGTGATGAGATCCATGAGCGTAGTCCCCGAGTCCTAGAAACACAGCGAGAGGGAGAGGAAGAGGAGGAAATCAAGATCGAAATTCAGATGCTCGCGTGAGTTCTGGATCTACGACCCGCTCGGCGGCGGATCTAAAGAGGAATTACCGCCATTTTTCAGGGGAGGCGGGGCGGCGTGATCGCGGGAGAGACGAGGGACGGATTCCTGCTGAGCGGCTCGCTGCTCGGCTCGTCGAAGCGCGGGAGCGGCGGAGGACGGGGGAGGTTCCGCCGCGCGCGGTGGCGGCGGAGGAATGGGGGAGCGATGGAACGGAAGATGCGGATTCGGGTTTCCGCCGGGAAAGCCGAGGAGGAGGAGGAGGAGGCGCGACGGAGGAGGGGGAGATGGCGAGGGAGATCGCGCTGCCGCGGAGGAGGAGGAGTTGTTTCTACGTTGGACGTCGCTGCTTCAAAATTCGTTTTCGCGGTTGGGCTTGGGCTTAAGAGGCTTGGGCCTTTTTCAATATTGAAGGTTGACCGTTGACCTCACCGCAAAGTGGATACGTACTCACATTTGTACGCTTTTAGCGTACCTGCGAAACGCGTGTGGGGTCAAATTTAGTGATATAAATTTAGTGATATAAATTTAGTGACTAATACCCAACTCGATTCGTACCCATAGCATATCCGACCCAATCCATATTTTTTTAGGGGCAATATCACAAAATCCTAAACTGGTACACTTATGACAATGTTGCCATAAACTAATTTTTTGACCACCAAAAACTCCGAACTAGTATACTTGTGGCAAATTTACCCCATGCTAGTTTCCGTTAAATTTTATGGTCAAATTGCTGAGTTGGATGGCTCGTGGCAATTGACGGGCGTACGAGTTTGTGGTTTTACCCTCCGTTTGTCACATGTGTATCAGTTTGTGATTTTTCGTGGTATTAATCCAATTTAACAAAAACTAACGGAAAGTAAATTTGTCACAAATGTACGAGTTTAGGATTTTTGGTAGTCAAAAAATTAGTTTTGGGTAAATTTGTCACAGGTTTATTAGTTTAGGGTTTTTCGTGGTATTAATCCTACCGTTAAAATACTTCTATTTTTAACCCAATCTAAGAAAATTCATGCACAAACTGAGGTGAAAGAGTAGAGTGAACGATCGAAGATCGAGAGAAAATTATAGAGATGAGTTAGGTCCAAATAAGTTGTGAACTCATTTAACACTCACATTATTTTTTGCTTTACTATTTTAAGCCTATTTATGACTTATTGTAACTGACTCATATAACAATTCAGCTCATCAAATAAGGGTTAAGAAACGAGCTTATCAACCATTTTGACATGTCTAACTTTTACCAAAAAATGCACTAGTTCTTTCCCTTGTTTGTTTAGAATCTTGTACCATATTCATAATGAGAATGTGATGGGAAGAGCTCACAGGCCATAGGAAATGCCAGAACGGCGATTGAGATAGTGTCGAAAGGTCTAGTAGGATGGTCTGGCTGAGCATTTAAGCATAAAGGAGGTCGCTTCCAAACTTCTGCAGACCTCGATGTGATGTAGAAAACATACGAGATCGATGTCCCCCATGGGCTGCGGGCCTGTGGTGTGGCTGGAACGGCGTCCGACTCCGGTATGGTCAACGTTACAGCAACAATTCAAGTGCGGCGATATGCTTTTGCTCGCAAAAGGGAAGCCATCACCGGCCAAACAGCTTGTGCAGTCTTAAGTGCATTGGAATTCGCGACGGACGTTCGTCGGAATAGATGACATTACTTGTTGAGTCTAATTAGAGACATGATGCTGCACTGTTGCCAGGGGCAGCTCCTTGCCGAAAATTGAAAACAAGATTATGAAAAGATATGAAAGAGACGGAAATTCGTCATATAATAGCCACAGGTATGAACTGTAACCAGATCTTTTATTTAGCATATAGACAGAACACTTCATTCATGTGCAGCAGTAAGATACCATCGGTCGCTCTGAATACCCAAGTCCGTTCTCATATCCAATGCATTATGCATTAGTAATACATGCCCCGTGGTTACAAAGCTTTGAACTTTAGGCAGCTGCTTCAGCAGCTGATGATACCATCTTAATGACGTTGACGGGATCTCCGACTTTGATGACCTTGCCGTTCCCATCCTTGTGGAAGTCCTTTAGAACCATGTTCTGCCCCATGAAAACCTGCAAAGGCGGGTGAAATAAGGTGACCTGTATCTTCTGCAAAAGCCTTCCATAAAGGAATTTGAAAGTTCATAGGCCATTACCTTTCCCTGCTGCTTTCCAGTTGGGCGCAGCACTTTATCCGAGCGGAACTTCTTTAGAGTTTCGTTAATCTCTGGCTTAGCTACAGCAGTCTCTTGATCAATTGTCGGTACCTGAATGCAAGTTTGTAGAATCTTCAAGACATGACACGGCAAGTGATGCACGTCTTTTTGTCAGTGTATGCAGCTAGCAAACATGAGACAACAACCTCTTATTTTCAACCGGCTTTAGGTGCAGACATTGCTGCAGAACATGACATCTAAGCAATCGGTAGCAGGCAAAGTGAGTGGACAATTTGGGAGCTAGGCATTGGAACAAAAACATTTAGCCATGCAATTTGGAAGAGTATTTTGAGAAAAAGAAGAAAAACCTGACATGATCAAGACTGCGAAAGATAGATGACTTGTTTGTGATGGTTTTAGAGATAAAACTTGTAGAGAGTTCGAGAGCGTCCCTTGTTTTGCTTCATCGCTTACATTGTCACCCTCTATACTAAAAGCCTAAATACAATCTGTAGTTCCTTGTACATTGTTTGGAAATATATCCTCACTCGCAGAGTTTTCGACTTTTGGAGTTTCGGAGTTGTGGTTTCTTGTGATGAGCAGATATTGAAGGGTGATCCGGCTAGCAGGGTTAGCAGCTAGTCAAAGCCTCTTGGTGTTGTATCATGCATGTAAAACATCATTTTCATCGCACTTCAGCAAAGATAATAGGTCGTGAAGAGATCTAACAAGATCTAGCTCAGCCATTAGCAATAACTAATGAATAAAGAGACCGGTCGAGGAAATAGGATAGCCTCGTACCTTACAGCGGGAGCACAGCTTGACACCCCGGAAAGTGAACTTGTTAATCTTGATCTCTGTCCATAGGTCCTCGGAGAATGGTTCGCAGCCATCAACGAAAATGCTGTCGCATACAACATAAAAGTCAGCAAGATGCTTGTCTCCTACATTCAACCAATTACCTAGAGACTTGGGACACTACAATATTTTTACATCGTATTGATAAGTGGCCTACAGTAAGTAGTAACAAAGTACTTTCGAAAAATTACTTTGGTCTAAAACGATTAACTGGTACCGGCTCCTTGAGAAGATTATTGAGCACATCCAATGATCCCTGCAAATGATAGCCGGTAAGATCTATGTCTAGAATTCATCCAAGATCAAGTTCATCTTAAAATCATCATTCGCCAAGACTGACCTGAGATAACAGCAAGAATGGATATCCGTCAGCGAACATGACATTTTGTCCATTAGCATATTGAGGATCCACAGGCCGAGTTTCTGATGCTGTATAAACAGCAAAATTGAACACAAATCACTTTCAATTTAGTACAGGACATAGATCCCGCTGTCAACAGGAGGAAATTTTCAGCAAGCTTGTTCTAATAAAAATATGTTGCGGAGTTCTGTTTTCTGAAATTACTCTAACCACCCCACCAGAATTGAAACGAACTAGTCGACTAGGTTTTCCAAGATAGTTCGAAAACCAGTTCGCTGCTTCATGTCCTTCATCCCATGCAGAGCCGGACCATTCCCATACCGAGATGCCATCAGTAACCTCATGGGGCTTGCTCAAAGAAATCTTCAGCTCATTCATACCATGAGCCTTCAGTACTGAACATAAAAGATGAGCGACAAATCACGAATCATTAGCATATGAACTGATGGGACGAATTGATTTCTCCCAATCCCAAGTTCAAAAAGCGGAAATTAAATAATATCCACAAACAAATATTAAGAACAGTCACCAATTTTGTTACCTAGAAAAGAATTGGCAGTCGGTAGCCAACCCTCTGAAAATGCCTCATCAGGAAGCTTGACAGTTACCAGAGCAAGCTTGGGTTCATTTCTTTGAGTGTATGCCCTGCCTTTACTGTTCACGACTAACCATTGCCGATCCCATCGAAATCCTGCATATGCAGCATCCCATCGATATTAAAGAAAAAAGAGTACTTCATGCTGGTTTGCTCCTAAATTTATGTTTCATATTCCGATTATTTTACTTAATTAAGTAAAGCAATATTATCAAGGGGAGCAGCCTATATTGACACTATTCTTGTTTTGACTTGGAATAAAGAACCCCAAGCCCAGGTAAAGAAGATAACAGAGAAGGATCTTTTAGAACTAAACCCAATTGATGGGAGAATCTTGTTGGCAAAGAGCTGTGTCTCGTGATCAACCAAAAGTCAGGGACTCCGCAGGAAAACTAGAGTTCCCTTCTGGGCAACATGAACCAAAACTGTGAGACGATTCTAACAATCATCTACGGTCTGAGTACAACCCGTGGACTTCGGCAGGTGTAGAAATCTCATCTCGTGCAAACCATCCATGAATACAATCAAAGAAAGACGAAGGTGTTGAAAGATTGAACTTCTCCACCCAGAAGCGGACAAAGACATCGCACAGGAGAGACAGCAGACAAGTTCACACCGAGCAGAAAGATTCAAGAGAGAGAAAGAAATGCATGTGGGTGACAAGAAAGAAGAGCGGGAAAGAGAAGAAAACGAACCGGTGGGGGTGAGGGGTGCCTGAGGAACCGAAATGCCACGGCAGGACTTTATTGGGTACACGAAGATTGATGTGACTCTGGATTTGGTCTTCTCCATCTCTCTCTCTCTCTCTCTTTCTCTGTCTCTCGGTAGGAGCAGAGATGCCCGTCACTCCCAAGTTAAATACACAGCTTGGGGAGTCATAATTCATAGTCCCCACCAATCAGAATTTGATGGAATCACGTGTTTTTCAATTTCCTTTTAGGCATTTCGTTCTCCATGTGGATATCCTGGTCCACTCCTTTATAGACAGATATGCCGTTTCCGAATTCCATTCCTGGAAGTTACAATCCCAGAAGACCCGACTAATTGTTTTTTCCTTCTATTTTATGTTTCGTCTCGTGTTAAAATCTGACCAGCACCCTAGCAATAGCCTATAGATCATGGGACTCTTTATCTGCTAGATTTTCAGTGAATTGGGAACCAAAGACCACCTTGCCAGAAACCAAAAACGAGGGGACCGAAAACACACTCCTAAAGACAGCGCGTGAACCTCGAAAATGGCGATGGCACATCGATTAGCGGGGCCAAAGGACTCTCAACTCTCGAGACAGAACGAACGAGCACTGTTGTTTGCTCCTATACCAAAACAGGGGAAATGCTTAAATTTGAATGCGAATCTTATTACGAACACACTTATCGCGTGGACCCTGCGCGGACGATCCAAAAATGGAACGCAGGATGGTCCTCCCTTCTCACTTTTACTATAGTGGATCCTCCAGGATGACAAGGGATAAGCTGGAATCTGGAAAAAAGGAAGTTCTCCCTTTCTACTGACTACTGAGCTGTATGGAAAAGAAGAAAGAGATGACGAAGCTTTAAATGATATGCCGCTTCTTTTTAATCCTAAATGAGAGCATCCTATAGATATTTCAGTGGGGCAGCATGTAATTCATGAGGTATTTCAGCAAATGAAAAGTACCCGCAATTCAGCTCCATAACAAACTGCTCATATGATACCACAACTTCGAATCAGAATTCACCCACATAAGCTAAGGGAGAGGGATCTCAAGTGAGGTAGTAAATGATTCATCCATTCATTGACGTGCCATGTTTTGGTACCAGATATGCTATACACTACCCTTCTTCTTCCAATGCACTGCTCTGTATAGCTATTGCACATCAGTCTATTGCATTGGGGTTTTCAATACCATCACCATCGAGATGGAGCTAAGAACTTAACACAATAATATATGAGACAGCCTCTGAATACTACTTCTGAATTCCAGTTCCTACATAGGTCTCGTGAAATTGGGCACGAAAGCAGATAATTCCCAAGGGCAAGATTCATTTTTCGATTTTAAAGTTTACTGATGAGTTTACGACCTCACATGTCAACAATACATCCATCCAAAAGAAAGACAAGTTCGATACGAAGAACTTTGGGGGTCCACTCACTTTTCTTTTGCCTAAAGTAGTACAAGCTAAAACATGAATATGACGACAGTGGGGCTGATGAGTTTCCTGGATTGGATTCCTTGCTTGCCTTCCTTAGACATCCAGATATTCAGCAAGAGGAGAATCCCTGGCCTCGCCAGAACAGCAGTAACTCAAAAGCATGGTCATCTACTCAATCATCCTCTCTTTCTGGTGGTAGACCACATGGCAAGAGCATTTTCTACACAAGAAAAGATACCAGAAGAGCAAAAGTTCAACACCAAGTTAGATGGAACAAACTGAAGCAACATGGTTCAGACTTTGAGGGAAATCATATTGGTAAAATATCACCATAATAGAATTATGAGTATCAAATAGACTTCAGAACAGAGTGTGCCAATATTTGCTGAGGAAGACTATTGACCTCCAGTGCAAAACATCTAATTTGTCCTTTCAAATCCATGAAGTATGATGCATGCTTGAACGGAAAGTCCATGCAGCACATCTATAAAATTAAATGATGAAACTATCCTAGGAGGCTATTTCTACTTCCATTTTCAACCAATCCAGCAAGAGGAACAGAAAGAAAGCATAATCAAAGTTCATCGTTAAACTCCACCAACAAAAGAAAGCTTGAGCAGCATTTGTTAAAACAAAATGGATATCGTACCTAACTTGTGGATCACCTGAAAAGGGTTAAAACTGAATTACGATACTATCATGCTGTTGGCGGGTATAACTCACAACTGACACTGCAATATCCACTCGGATATTGATGGGACCTATTTTCAAGGGTCAGATCAACCAAAAATAAACTAGAAATTAAGTACGTTTCTCAAACCGAACTCCAATGGCACTCGTCCTCACGTTCTTTATCATTCACAAGAAGTGGCAGACACGAAGCTTAAAAATTATAACCCAATGAATGGCAAGAAGATATATCGAATCAACTAAGTAAAACAAGATGCTCCCACATGCCTATGAAATCGGCTCAGATCCACATATCTCCTTAGTATTAGACAAATAATACGATATGGTCCCAACGGATCACGACCCATTAAAAATCGGAACTGGCTATAAATACGTAAGCAACAAATCGTGCTGAAAACCAAACATACACTACATGGCATCTATCAAACCACCATTGGTCTGCACATCACACAACAGAGGATGCCTAGCCTTAACTTACACTACCATCAACACCGATTTGTCAGGATTAGACTTGAGGAACAAAGACAAGTTGAGAAAAGATTTGGATCGCACTGATCAAGCACGACCCTGCGACGGCAAAGATGAAGCCTTTCACAACTAAAATGGACCCAGGAACCAAACCTCAGCCAACCCTCCACATCCCTTAAAGAATCATGTTCCCTCCATACCGCAAAGACTCACTTGGGGGACAAGAAACGGAATCACAACAGGTCAATCATGCACCGACATAAGCAGGACAACGCACGCAGCAAGAGGCAAGCGAAGGGAGAAGGAGAAGAAGGGGGGGGCACCTGCATGAAGTTGTAGCGCTCTCTGCCAATGGACTCATTCTCGGCTATAGCGAAATACGCCAGAATCGGGTAATGTCCGATGTACGAAGCAAAGCTATCCCGCTGGATGTTCACCGCCCACTCGCTACACCCCCAAACCAAGAAAAAAAAACCCAAGAAACCAGAGGCACCCCAGTGAGCAGCCAAGGCAAAGGAACCCGAGCCCCACAAAACCAAAAGAGATCGGGGTGGGTGGGGGGGGGAGAGAGAAACACACTCACAATCGGTTCAAGTCGGCATGTCCTGTCCCGACGTACTTCGCCTGAAGGTGCTCGAGCTGGGAATTGATGTTGAACCTGTCGCTGGCCTGCACCGCAAAAGAAGAAAGAAAACACAACGCGAAAGACGGGTCAAGAAGATCCGAGCCCAGCAGATCGGTTGGGGGAATTCAAGATTACGAAGGGGGGGATTGTGGGTATTGGGTTTTCGGCGCTTCTGCTACGAGGAGCAAGAAAGCGCAGATGCGGCGGCGGAACGGCGGCGGAACGGCGGAGGGGAGAGATCGCGCTTACCTGCATGTTCGGCTGCTGAGAGGCTCGACGGAGAAACTCGAAATTGGATTTGCTCTCCCTCTCTCTCCTCAGCCGACTGCACTTGATGAAAACCTCGTTACGCCTTTGACGAGCCCTATTCCCCCAAATTATATTGTTTTGTTGTGAAGCTTTTTGCAATAATTTTTTTATTTTTATTGTTTTCGCTTATGAAATGGCACCTTTCTGCGTTTTGAATAAGGATTAATATCACGAAAAACTTCAAATTGGTACATTTATGATAAATTTACCTCAAATTAATTTTTTGATCACAGAAAATCCTAAACTGGTACACTTGTGATAAATTTACCCCAAACTAATTTTTTGATCACGAAAAATCTCAAACTAGTACATCCGTGACAAATTTATCATAAACTAATTTTTTAACCACAAAAAACCTTAAATTGGTACACCTGTGACAAATTTACCCTAAACTGGTACACCTATGACAAATTTACCATCTGTTAACTTCCATCAAATTTTACCGTTAAATTTATTGATGTGGATGACACATAGTGACGTGGTATGGTGACGTAGTAAGTCCACGTGAAAATTCATAGAGCAAATACCACTAAAAACCCCAAATTGGTCAGCTAACAGAGGGTAAATTTGTTACAAAATTACCAATTTGGAGCAAATTTATCACATGTGTACCAGTTTGGGGTTTTTTGTTGCCAAAAAATTAGTTTGGGATAAATTTGTCACGGATGTACCAGTTTGAGATTTTTCGTGGTTAAAAAATTAATTTTGGGTAAATTTGTCACGGGTATACCAGTTTTGGGTTTTTTGTGATCAAAAAATTAATTCGGGGTAAATTTATCATAAGTGTACCAGTTTAGGGTTTTTCGTGGTCAAAAAAAGTTTAGGATAAATTTATCATAAGTGTACGGGTTAATACCACCAAAAACCCCAAACTGGTACGCGTGTGACAATTTTAACCCAAACTTTTTTTTTTACCACCAAAAACCCCAAACTGGTACACCTGTGACAATTTTACCCCGAACATACCACAAAAAACTCCAAACTGGTACACTTGTGACAATTTTACCCTAAACTAAAATTTTAATATTATTTTTTCGAATTTTTATTTATTTATTTTTTTTTTCTTTTATTTTTTTTCTTCATCTTCAACCTCTGGTCGGTCGCCGAATAGGCAACCGGCCAGAGGCAGAAGCCGGCGAGGTTGGCCCCGCCGGCTGCTGGCGAGGGCAGCCCTCGCCCGACGCAGGCGAGGGTCGCCCTTGCCAGATCAGGTTAAAGATGAAGAAAAAAAAAGAAAAGAAAAAACAAAAAAAATTAATAAAAATTCGAAAAAATAAAAAATAATATTAAAATTTTAATTCATGGTAAAATTGTCACACGTGTACCAGTTTGGGGTTTTTTATGGTATGTTCAGGGTAAAATTGTCATAAGTGTACCAATTTGGGGTTTTTGGTGGTATTAACCCTAAATGTACCAGTTTGGAGTTTTTTTTGTGTTACTAACCCTTTGGATGATTACACAAATGATTTCTAATCTTTGGCAGAATATATAATATCGTTCGTGGACAGTTTCTGAATTTTAACTTATTGTGCAATGCCGCCTCTGAATTTTTAATTTCTTTGATGTGGTCCTTGAACTTTTGGTAAACCACATTGAACAAATTAAAAGTTCAGGGACGAGCTTGCACGTTGAGTCAAAGTTCAAAATTTATTTATATCATTTTCCTCTTTTTTACCTTGAGAAGAACTCACTTCTTCATTTGCATCGATTCTGACCGATAAACTCCTTGAATGGATACTGAAATGCCCTACCATTGCACCCGGATAAGTCTAGGAAATTGCGAACAAGGTATATGAAATTGCGAAGATGGGTCAAGAAATCCGACCCCAGCAGATCGATTGGGGATTCAAGAAAACGCGGATGCGACGGCGGCGTCACGGCGGAGGAGAGATCGCTTACCTACATGTTCGACAGCTGAGAGGGCTTGGAGGAGAAACTCGGAATTGGATTGATGTCGGGAAATGGAAGGTGGAAAGCTTTCTCTGCTCCACCGGCTTCACTTGATAAAAACCTCGTTAAGCCTTTGACGAGCCCTATATATTGTCATAAAGCTTTTTTTTTTAAATATTTTTACTATTTTTCCTTATGAAATGACTTTTTTTTTTTATAATTACACAAATAGTTTCTGAATCTTGATCAAATGTGTAATGATCGTCCATAAACTTTTAATTTATTCAATGTAATTTATGAATTTGTGCAATATCGTGCATGGACTATTAATTTGTTCAATAGTCCTTAAACATTTACCAAAGTTTTAAAGATTACATTGAATAAATTAAAAATTTGGGGACGACTTTGCACATTAAACCAAAGTTCAGAGACCAGTTATGTCATTTCCCTCCTCCTTTTTTTTTTCCCTTGAGAATAACTCGCTTCTTGATTTGTGTCGACTGCGACAAAGAAACTCATCTCAAAATACAGTGATGCCCGACCGTAGCACCAAAGTAAGTCTAGGAAATTGTGAATAAGGTATTCAAACTTCCCACGGGTTCTCCGAGTGAAGAGCCTAGACCCCTTTATGAACTATGCGTGGGGAATTCGAAGTGTAGAAAACTCATTTCTGTTACTTAAAATATTCACAACGTATAAACATTACTCGTTGTTGACGCCTCTCTTACCACCTACCTCTATCTCGGCTTCCAAATTAACATTCGAGGTTGCAACCTAAGCAGATAAGAGCTTATGGAATTCTATCGACAAAAAACCTTCTGACTGTCACGCAAAAAATTAAAATATCATTCGATGTGAATTTATGTTTCAATATTTATTTATTGCGGAAATTTCAGGTTGGTCCAATTAAGGAGTCAAAAATGTCTAATCGTTGATATTAGGACTAAGAAAAAGAGCAAAATGCCAAAATCAATGGAAAAGAATGGGGAAGGAGGGGGAGAAAATTGGAGCAACCGCTGCACCTGCAGGCTCCTCCAGGTCAAGTCAACGGCGACTGTTGACTCATGAACACCACCAATCAAACCAAGAAAAAGATAAAACGAAAACTCCCCGAATTCTCGTCCTCGGAATTAATGGCGATGCGATGAAAGCATGAATTTTGACACCTACCCACCTTCCTTCCTTCCTTCCTTCACTGCTCTCTCGACCCTCTCCAGTCGGAGTGACCATGGAGCTCCGCCGCGCCGTTCCCGCCGCCGCGATCCCCACTCCTCTGCTGCCGTAGCGCATCTGGGTCGTCGCCACTCTGAGCTCCCGTTTCTGGGTCTCCCCTTCCCGGAATGGCCGTGACGCGAGGAGGGGCCCTCATCTCCCTGCTCTCGCTCTCCGTCCTCGCCGCTTCTTTGGTGGTCCCGCTTCGTGCTTCCGCCGCCGTGAGATTTGTTTTGGGCTTGCTCTGCTTTTTTGCTGCTCGGTGGTCGGTGGGTGTTTCGGGTGCTCATTCTATCTCTGCTCTCTGTTTCAGGTGCTCAACGAGACGCTCGACAGCCCCGCCGCCGCTTCCGGGAAGGAGAAGCCGCGAAATGGTACGTGCTGTTTTCACTTTTTTCTGACATACTAGGGAGCTGCAAGGGACGAGAGAGATGAGTTTTGAGGGGGTTTTTTTTTTCTATGGGTCAAACATTTCATTGAGATCAGGACTTCTTATGAACTGGGGGATTGGTTTTTTAATGTTTATTTTCTTATGCTCTTGATTGTTATGCCGCTTCAAGAAAGGCTTGACCTGCGGTTGCTGCTCCCTTTCTTCTGTTCGAATCTGTCTGGCCATCTTCCAGTTTATCATTGGCAGCAGATGGTATGTTAAATGCCGATAAAGTGCGAATCTTGTCATGGAGATTCTTGTTTACCATGATAACCAAATTTGAAAATAAAAGATTCAGTAACTAGGAAATGAACTGCAAGGCGTAATTGTAAAAATGATCTCGAATAAGTCAGCAAGGAGACATCTACCGCATGACCTCCTCTATTTCTTTTTGAGGGGAAGTATGAATTGACATTCCAGAAGAAACATCAAGTTGTGATTCTATAGAACATAGCTCAGATAGAATAGAAATTGGCTCTGTGAACTGGCCTTTCTTACTTTTGTATTTATTTTGCTGAAACTGCATTTGAGCTTGCATGCTGAAGTTCTATCTTCATTATTCACAGGAACATGTCCTAAAGATTGGGTAGTTGGCCCAAGTAAAAGGAAGTGCTTTGGCTTCTTTGAAACACCCCATCCGTGGAGTGGTTCGGAGGCCTTATGTAGAAATAATGGTGGACACTTAGCAGCTCTGGTATCATTCGAGGAAGTGAATCTCACACAACATCTATGCAATACCACCAGCAGTGGCTGCTGGGTTGGAGGAAGGACAGTTAATTCTTCTGATGGCTGGAAGTGGTCTGACAATTCTTCGCATTGGAATGTATCCATCTTCCAAAGTTCGATGTCAACATCCAATTGCTCTAATAGGGCCTGCCAACTCAATAGCTCTGTTGATTCTTGTACACTGGTGACTAATGGATCCGCATTTCTCTCTGTTGAAGACTGTCGGCAATCGCACTCTTTCGTGTGCATGCTAGAAATGGGTAAAGTCATTATTCATTTTTGGAAAGCACACTCTTTCCCATGTAATTGCCAATTATACTGAGAACCTTTTAATTACTTTACATGCAGAGAGCAAATGTTACCACATGCACTGCCACATGGATTATTTCATCATTCTTCTTGTCGTTAGTGGTGTAATTTTTTGCACCACCTTGACTGTTGTCCTCTGGCTTCTCCTTTACAAGCAAGGCAAAAGGCGCAGAAGGTCACGCAAATTATCCAATCCAGCTGCTTCTGCATTAGTTGCACCATCATGGAAAGTCTTCACCAAGGAGGAATTGCGGTCAATAACGAAGAATTTCAGCGAGGGAAATCGTTTACTTGGAGATGCCAAGACGGGGGGAACTTATACTGGACTCCTGCCAGATGGTTCTAAGGTTGCAGTCAAGAGATTGAAGAGGAATACTTTTCAGAGAAAGAAGGAGTTTTATTCTGAAATTGGAAGAGTTGCTAGACTTCATCATCCAAATTTAGTTGCGGTCAAAGGATGTTGTTATAATCACGGTGACCGTTACATAGTCT